AGCAGGCCAATATGTAGGTTTTCAACAGCAACGTTGATGAAAGCGGTATCCGTAATCTTCAATTTATTTTGACAGAATGTTTTAAGTGAGTTTTAGGGTCATGTATTGATTTGATTGTAGCATTTCAATGATTATTCTGAATCAATTTATTATTTCTGAAGTGCTTCAATTTGGGTGGTAACGGTAGCCGTGGATAAATGTGTGCATACCGCCTATTGTTCGAATCTTTGCACTTAACTTGTGTTTCATTTTGTTTTGGTTTTCACTAATATTTAATTAGATTTATGTGCTCCCTTCTTGTTGTTTGGTGTTGTGAATCCTATGAATAATCTGTATGTAATGTTGGAGGCTAACAATAATTTACAGCTTAAGACAGATTGCGATGAATTCAACATTGTTGGCTGCCTATTTGTTTGTGCATCCGTGACCGCGTCATTTACAAATTTGTGAAGATAAATTGTTGTTGCTCACTCCGCGTTTGTGTTGTTGGTGGCTTGTGTTTTCAATTTTGTTGGATGTTTTTTGCTGGAGAGAAGGTGATGTTGGATGTTGTTTGCTGGAGAGGAGGTGACGGCGCGAAGCCAAATGCTTGAATTGTCTCCTTTAATTTCATAAGTGATCCTCACTTTTCTTGCTGGTAGTCATGTTACTCATGGTGGCTTCTATAACTTAATTGGAATGTTAGAATTAATAGGTGGCAATTATTATTAATGACTAATATTAGGAATATTATTTTTGTATCACCATTTATTTGATTAATTTAAAGACAATTCAAAAAGATTTTCAAAACAAAATCATGGACTATTTTAAAGTGTATTTTCAAAATATGATTAATTATACACTAATTTCTTAATCCAATTTATTCTCAACACACAATATTTTCTTAATCAATAATGAAAAAGAACTCTTAAGGTCCAACATCTTTTGAGTTCTTGAATAATCACTATTGGGGCGTACGCCCTAGGTAGTACATTATTCGACTTTTCGCTTCAAAATACGCCCTTTAATTATTTAGACAAGGAAATGTCATTGGAGTCTAGCATTCCACATGATACTCTCGTTGTTTATTCAAACATATTTCATAAATTAAATCAAAATCACTCTTCTATTTATTAAGTAATTTATTTAATAAGACAATTTCAAAATAGATTTTATTTTAAAGAGAAAAAAAACTTTGAAGCAATAATATTTCTTAAACATGTTTAATCAAATCATTTTTTTAGTTAAATTACAAAAAATTAAACCCTTGAAGTCTAGCACTTCTTGAGTTTTCGAATGGATATTATGGAGGTGTACACCTTAAATAATGTTTTGTTCAACTTTTCGTTCTCTTATTTTGGACAAAGAAATATTATAGGAATCTAGCATTCTGCGTGATATTTCTGTCGTTCATTCAAACATTCTCCAAATGAAAAAGGTGTCGTCAAGATCTAGCATCTCGATAATACCCCGATTAATTGGTTATGGGACCGACGTCTTATTTACTAAATAATCGTCATTTCTCCTATATTTTTCAAAATCCTATCTCGTATTTTCACTTTTCATACCTCATTTCAAATTATTTTGAAAACAGCTCCTCGATTCAAACTTCGAAAGGAGGAGGTTCTTGGAATCTAGCATTCCTTGAATCTCCGAGTAAATAATTCTCGAGGCACGCCCTTGATTTATTATTTATTCAATATTTCTACTTTTTTTAAACTCAATCGTTTTCCAACGTTCTCCTAAGTCGAATGCTTGTACGCATTCACAACCCACATTTCGTATACGCATTCACAACTCCTCGTGGTTTTGATATTGGAAGCACCCTTAGGGACCAATATCATTTCTCACAATCTAACCCTTGACACGTCGTCAAGTCGGTTCCATCTTCAGTCAAATTCTCGACACGTCGTCGAGCTACTTCAAAATAACTTCCTTTGGCCTCGCATGCCATTTTTCGATTCGATCTTTTCACAAACGTTTTTTTTTAAACTTACGAAGGAGGGATATTCTTAGAATCTAGCATTCTTTGAATATTCGAATGAATAACTCTTAAGACGCGCTCTGGAGTTGTTATTAATTCATTCCTTCGATTTCAAAAGCATCCAACTCTTTATCTTCAACCTATTCAGTTAATTCCCGAAAGAATTGAATTCTTGAGATCTCGCATTCCTTGAATTCTTGAATAATAATCTCTTGAGGCACGCTCTTGGGTTGCTTGTCGGTCACTCTTTCGTTTCAAACTCGACTTCAAACCCAATTCAAATTTCAACTTTTCGTGGTTGTTACCATGAACTACGACTGCTCTGATTCTTCATTCTCGTCCGAATGCAAGATACGTAGGCACAAGATTACAGTGATCTTGGCGAGCACATTTCCCATTTTCTCCCCTATTCCACACTTCTACCTTTCTCCATTACTCCGTCCACAATTCTCTCAACTTTTCCCGTAGTCGAACTACGACGCTCTGATTTCTCATTCTCGTCCGAATGAGTATACGTAGGCACAAGGGCCCCAATCCTTGGCGAGCACCCTATCCTCTAACCCCCCATTTTCCCTTTAACGTTCTTAACCTTTTATCCTGCCAATTCTACCTTTAACAACGAGAAGAAAAACAAGTAAACCTAGACAACACTCCCCACATTTACCTTAAGAGGTTCCCGTCGAGTACGACGGACGTGAGGGGTGCTAATACCTTCCCCTCACGTAACCGACTCCCGAACCCGGAACTTGGTTGCGACAACCTTGTTCCTATCCTTTCGTTTTTAAGAGGTTTTCTCGATATTTTCCTCTCTCGTTTATTCGGGATAAATAAAGTTCGGTGGCGACTCTGTCGAACCGCATTTCCGCGCCTTTCGCGCGAGGGTCGTTTTCTCCAAAATATCTCCGTGATTTTTCGAGGTGCGACAGATATGTACAATGAACAAAACATAAGTCAGTTACAGTTAAAATCACAAGGGCAAATTTGGGAGTGCTACACTATCATACTAGTTAACCGATTGAGAGATACTTAATTAATCAATATGATTGATATCACATTGTTGTTTAGACATGAATAATATACGTTGAGCGACAGGTGATAATATTAAATGTTGACTAGAATATGTATAACTGATCACAATGGTGTATTAGAATAGGATAATAAAATCTAATCTCAGCAATTTTATCTTATCTGTTAAACGTATTTTCATTTACCATGAATTTAACTTAGTTTTGTAAACAAACACCTTTTCAAAATACTTTCCTTTAAAATCATAATGATTGATGAACGACTTTAATAGCACACTAGTCCTTGTGAATACGATACACAAAAATACTTACTTTTATTCTTCAACATACATGCAGAAGGAGGATTAACAAAGATCAACATCAAAACACAAACATGCAGGAAACAAGTCAACATAGGGTTAACATAGATCGATATCTGAATCAAAACCACAACTTATTCAAAGAAAACCAACCCGAAAAATAATGAAGATCATCAAATTAACTCAAAGATGCACACACGGGAAGCCAATGTCATTCACAATGATAACACTTGGAAGGAAATGACCATTAACAATAATATTGATGCTACCCTAGCTATAGATGAAGAATGGAATATTAGAGTTACTTTTCAAAACGAAGATGGTGAAAAAGTTGTTGAAGCTACCTGAACACAAAAAGAATACTACAACCATACTGCAGCAAAAGATTAAGCTATCTCAACATTCTTGAGCTAGCGAGAAAGATGAAAGCCAAAGAGGTTCAACCGATGGCGATGCAAAAATTTAGCAGATAGTATTTCAGAGAGAAAGTGGAACGATGCAAAAGTTAGAGATAATAGTCACTTAGGGTCTCTAATAGAGAAAGTCCAACAAACCTTAATGGACTTCAAAATCAAATTTATCCATCACATAAGAGCATTTAACTTGTCACCTCCAAAAACCTGAAACCTCCACATATTTTCATAATTCCCAAATTGTCCATGAATAAATTTGAGACCAAAATGCGAACGAAACTTTCAATAGTTCATTCAAAAAATTTGGTAAAACACCAAATTTTCGGTAGTTTATTTTTAAATTGTTGGTACAAATTTTTTATCGATATTTTTAAAAAGTGTTGGAATTTACCGGAAATTTCAAAAAGTGTTGTAGTTTATCTAAAATTTTGAAAAATGTGCTAGTTTACCAAAATTTTTGAAATTTTTAATTGTGTAAAATTTTGTTGTTTCAAATTTTTTCAGATTATTTTTCGGAAACTTGGATATTTTTTCTAATTTTTTATCAAAAATTTCGCAAAATTTTAATATTTTCTAAAAATTCCTGTAAACATATTATAAAATCCAAAAAAATAAATAAGGACAAAGATAATAACAGCCACTAATATAGGAATGTCAAATTTAATTGTGGGGTAGCAAATTAAATGCTCATCACATGAGTTGAGAAAATAATAAACCAGCAAACCATTCATGAGAATAATAAGATTTCGATAATAAACCAGCCTAACACCAATCGAATCAATATGAATCTTATTTAAAATTAAATAAATCTTTTGAATAAAAAAAACCTTCTGCGCTTTCTTTATTGTTTTCGCCTTTATCATCTTCCTCGGATAATAAATCACTCATACTTAAATATAAATGTTACACTCATAATACTTTTTATAGAAAATCTCCAAGCTTTAAGAAGAGTTCATAGAAGCTACCATTTTTCACCATTCAAAAATTTTAAAATCATTCTGACAGTAAAAAGTACATACAAAAGCATGATAACAGCATATTGAAATAGAACAAGTGATTTCCATAAACCTCTCTAGAATAGGGGCATGTATTTTATTATAATTAGTTTGAACTACACAAAAGAAAAACTCACATAAAAAGTTAATTATAAAGCACTACGTGTAGACAAAGACCAAGATACACAGACGTCAATATCCACACTGTTTCTTCCCCTTTATACGCGTCTTACAATCTTACACGTAATTAGAACATCACACAACAACACACAGCCAGATCCACCCCATAAAACAATTCTCTTCCATTAAACTTCGCAACCACTTTTGTTAATATCAATCTTCTCTTTCTCATTCTTTACTTCTATTTTGTCCTCACTTACTTGCTCCTCTTTCTTATCTTCATGTTGTTCATCCTTCTGCTCTTCCTTTTTGTCCGCAATCTCTATATCAATACTCACTTCAATTTTCTTCGCATCGATTTCGTTGTTGATAACAGCATCTCCTTTGTGTTCAGGAAGCTTCTCATCATTTACTGGCTTACTGTTTCTGTATATAGCATACAGTGTGATCTGAACTATTCCAAATGTTAACCCCACCACGTTTGGAAGCTGTCCACAAAAAACAAAACGTTAGTTATAATAATTTATTACTACCTAAAATTAAAACAAAAAAAAAGTTTGGTACAGTATATGAATAACAAGAACTTACGGTAACATAGATATCTCTGAGAGAAAGACCATACAAGAGCCACATCACCGCGCTGATGAGGAGAAGAAGTGAAAGAGGAAAAGGAAGAAACTCTACACTTTTGGTGCGAATAACAACTCTCTACAAGATGATATTAAAGTTTAAAACCATGCATGCATGATTAGTATAAGCATAAACCATAGTTAAGAAAGTGATTCTATACTTACAATAATACTTAAAGGTGCTGCAAAAACACTAGTAGCAAAAACTACACAAATCCATCCAAGAAGCTTGATACGTCCTTCTTCTTCTTTTGCTAGGACATAAGTTAAGACGACAATTGCGCCGAATCCGACGAAATTCATCAAGACAATCATCCTCAATGTCGACATCTACATAACAACAGTTATAAAAGTAATGATCAAGGAGTTTACGTAAGTTAATCAAGACACTGATATTCGAAATGTGTTATTTACGTACCCTAACTTTCTTGGGACAGTAAGTGACATAAATGGCTAGGTAAATAGTTTCTATCACACAACCAAATGCATTGATGGTGATGAGAAGAGTCTCTCCTGTCTTGATATAAGCATAAAAAAGCCAAAGCATTGCACTGAATAATGCAGCCACATAAGGAATGGATTGAAACCCTTCTGTTGATTTCTTCTTACAAACTCTATAGAACGTTGGTCTGCAAAAAAAACATGATACATGTTTTATATATATTAAAATGTAGAACTAAATATCAATTGTTAATTGGTCCAGTGCTAATTGGCACTGATCTTGGTACGAGTATCACGGTTCAATCTCCCGCAACTGCGATCGGAGGCTAACGACTTGATGCCAGACAGAACCCCGAACCAAGTTAGTCGGTGTAATGGACCGGATACTCGTGTTGAAAAAAAAATGTAGAACTAATTGGATTGAAAGGATTCGTGTTTCCACTTACAGTGGTGCCAGAAAGCACACAAAAGATGAAATGTTCCCTAGAACTCCAAAAACAAAAGATAGATGACTGTGTTGGGACATGATTATGATCTTATATGAAAACTCTTTCTTTCTCTCTCTCTCTGAATTGTCCCTAGTTAGAAGGGAGAGAAGGAAGGTTTAAGAGAAATGTTTAGTTCTAGTTTAGTATTCTGTATAACACAATTGATATGAAAATGAGTGTTGGTAAACACCCCTTATATAGGGTTGCTATGGTTCATGCATGGGATATTGAGGTGTCAAGGTGTACTATTTTGCGTGGACATAATGGAACTATGAGTTAATCATTGTTTTAACACATTATTGCTTTGAAAGCCATACAAAACAAAAGCCAAAATATAAAAATTCTTTTTTGCTTTTTGGGGATAAAAAAATATGTTTTATATAATTTTATATTTTGCTTAAAGCATAATATCAAAAAACGTTGTTAAAAGAAGAAATAGTGTTGATTATTATTATTACTTAAATTTACTTTAAGTAGTAGCCAATTATGCTAAGTAAGGAAAAAACTTTTTCTTCTTAGTAATACTAACAACTCATCAATTTTCTCACGCCAAATCCACTATGATTGCAAACTCAATACTCCCTCTCAATTTGAACATAAACAACTAATTGTGTTCACATTCAAAGTTATTTAAATAAAAACAGTAAATTAATTTATATTTAAAAGTTATACAAAATTAAATATAGTATTGCATATTTATAATAATGCACTTTTTTATCTGTTTAAATGAATTTCAAATTATTTTTTGAAAATTAAGGTTTGAAAGATGATCGTTAAGATTTAAAGGAGATTATTATGGGATAGGGTGAATGGTAAATTAAACATCTTTTATGTCAATTTGTTTGATGTTTTAAGCCTAAGCATTTGAAAGGTTTTGGTATCTGTGCCTTGCTAATCTAGCTCTCTTAGATAAGCGGAGGTGGAGATTGCTCTCAAGAGCTTTTAGGCTTTGACGAGATATTCTTTCTGTTAGATATTGAGATCTTGTGGTTTCTTCTCTCTTAGAGGGTAGATTTTTAAGGCTTCGGTCTTCTTCTTGATGGAGAAGGGTGTCTATTTTAAGATCTAAAAGTGATGTCTCTTCTGATTGTTTTGTTGATAGGATTAGTAGGAAGGTGGGGGAATATTATGCATACTTTGCTCTGGAATGACATGTGGGTGAGGTCTATCCCCCATAGAATTATTTTTTATAGACTTTACCCTATCTCTGAGCAAAAGGGGAAGGGGTGGGGAAATTGGTCGTTGAGATGGTAACTTAGTTTAGGATCTGAAGTGAAGAACACCCTTTTTTGATTATGAACAACAGTTGGTTGATGACCTGCTTTTGAATGTTCCGGGTACTATCTTCTCCTTGGAGATATGTTAGCATCCTAGGAAGGATCAATTTCTTTTACCAATAAAGTTTTGTTTGAGGCTAATTTTGACTAATTGTTTTTGGTAATAGATTGACTCCAATTTATCTTCTATTTAGTGTAGTTAGACTCCGTCCAAAGTAGTGCTCTTTTTTTGGCAGTTGCTCCAAGATAAGATTTCTACCTGTGAGAATTTATTTAGACATCAAATCAGTCTTGACTCGAATGGTCTTTCATGTGAGTATGTGATGTGTTTATTAAGTATATTTCTCATTTGTTTGTTACGTCTGAGGTGGTATTAAATCTTTGGTATAGTATTTTATGATGGATTGAAGGACGTTTATCTTACATAGTACTATTATCCCGCTCTTCGAGCTTTTCATTTCTTTAAGGAGTTCGATGAGGGTTATAGAAGATCTTAAAATGATTTTACATGCACTGATTTGAACTATTTTGAAATCCTTAAATGACTATATGTTTTCAGGAACACCTCTAAGTGAGGAAGACATGGAAGATAATAGTATTTTTCTTGCTTGGAAATGGTATCTTGGTAGGTTTTAGATTACTCTTGTACTTTTTCTACTTGACTTAAGAAGCATATTCTTTGTCTGAGCTAATAGTGGTCTAAGAATCCATGACCTAGATCACTGAGGTTGTGTTTCTTTTTTGGTGCTTTTGGTAAATGTTGTTCTGTCAATGATGGGTCACATTTCTTGAGTTCTAGATTAGTGCTCGCTTCTAGAGGTTGGTTTATCTTTTTTTTTTCCTTTATGGATTCAAACATCTCTTGTGCCTGTTTTAGATTCCAGTTATATTATAGTTTTGTTTGTAGTTGGATATTTTTTATATTTATATTTAGATAGTTTGGTGTGGAAACATTTAAAAGATGGAAATCTTTCTTTGAAACAGGCGTATCAATTTAAGTTCCCTCGGGATAAAGTCTCTTGGCTGATTAGTTTTTGGCAAGATTATTTCTAACACATTTGTGATTTTGAGGGTGCTTCATAAAATGTGACATGTGGATGATAATCTTCATAAGCGTGGTTGCATTATATTGTCAGTTTGTGTGATTTATATGGAAACGTGAGAAAGTACAAACTATATTTTCCTTCAATGTTAGTTTTCACTAGATATTTGAACTTGTCTTGATGACTTGTTTGAGATTGTGTTTTTTGTAGTAGTGACGATTTCCCCTTCTTCTCATTCTTCTAGCAAACAAATATTTCCCCCAAAGGGCGACACTTTAAATCCAAAGTAACCCTCAATATTGAAAATCTCTTGGATATTATAAGTCATTACAGGATTTTCCACAACGCACACAAAAGCTTTATTGAATATACTTTGGTGCTCATTATCCTCCTTGTTAAAGATCAAATGATCAATGGAATGGTTCTTCGGCTTGCTCCGATCAAATTGGTCCTCAAAATATTTTTTAGAGTGAATTCTAGATTTCAAAACATTGGTATAGGATCTACCATCACTTTTCTACGTGTGTCTTCCAAAACTAGACCCTGAAGTGTTAAAATAGTGTCTCTTTTGGGCCTGCTCCTCAAAGACTCTTGAGCTCTTTTATTTTACTGATCACTCCATTGAAGCTTGGATATCGAGGATTCAGTCTTTTAGAATATTGGAAGGTTAACAAAGATCTTCATGTCTCCAATAAAAAACTGCACAAAGCCATATTTCTCCCTCTGAAATCTCTCTTTGAATGTATTACAACATAATCTATGCCTCTAAAAACTTTTAATTCTTCTTACATATCTTTTGCATTGAGTTCATCGGGGAAGGATGTGAAGAAGAAAGATGTTGAATCATCTGGATTTCCTCCCCTACTTGATCACATCTCCCCACATTATCTCACCTTGTTGATCTACAACCTTTTCTTACCATTCTTCTCCATCCATGGTATTCTCCATCACTTCTAAAATGCATAATTAGTTGATATTAAATGTTGTTTAGTGTTGAGTTTAGAGAGAAATTAGAGCCTCTCTCTCATCACTTTTATTTGATTAGCGCTACTATTATGGGCCATATTGCTTCATTAGCCTAACCAATACTATTTTCGTTTAGAGAAATGCTAAAATGACACTCAAATTTGACATTACACTGTATTTATATACGATTCAATTTATTTTTTTCTTTATTTTATTATTTTATGTGCATTGACATTTGAGCCACAGTGAAAATAATATTCACGACTACGGTGTAAAAACGCATATGGTGTCATAATATGGTGTAACTATAACCTATCTAAAAAATTTATAACTTGAAGAAGATGATAAATAAAGTTGACTTAAATGTCGAGAGTCAAAACTAGAGTTTTATGCTTTACAATTTTAAGTCAAATTTTTTATATAAAAATTCAATTTATTTATAAATATATAATATGTTAAACTTATTATAACTACTTTTCTTTTACTCAATATATTTTATGAATAGAACATCAAAATATTTCTTATTATATTGTATTCAAAATGGAATGGAGTAAGTTATAAGTTGAAGTGTCCTAGTAGAAACAAATTTAAAAAAAAATAAAACTTAAAGTTATAGTGTCTATATAATAGAGTTTTGCTCGCTTCCAAGTTAATTACTCAACCACGCGTTGCGTACCAAACATGCTTTATTTCACCCGTAAGCACCCTCAATTACATCATTCGACATTTCTTCCCCCTTTTCTTTTTCTTCATTCATTCTACACTCAAACAAAACATTCATTTAAAAGTTAAATATAGTTTTAGTTTTATTATTAATGTTTTAAGCATATAGATACATATTTCCTTCATTCTCTTTTATAAATAAATTTTATTTTTAAATTTATTAAATAAATAATGTATTTGAATTATATATAGATTAGATATATCAATTATTTAATAAATTTAAAAAATAAAAATTGTTTATATAAGAGAATGAAGTGAGTACTTTTTAAAATTGATGATATATACTATTATTTGATTTTTACACACTCAAGATATTAATAGTTAATTTTTTTTTAACTTGGAAGGATCTCTACCTCTATTATAAATTATATTTTATTTTGTATTTTTTATTCAAATGATATTGTGTGGTGAGATTATACGAGATAAAATTAAAAATGACAATATTAAATAAAGTATTGGGATATCATATACTGATAAAAAGATAGTAAAAAATAAATTTAGATAGTTTAAGTATATAAAAAGAATACTTATAAATTATGTTATAAAGAGAATATATTAAATGGAGGAGTCAGACAAATAAAGATAGTGAAGTCAAATAATTAAAGATAGAAGAAGACATAAGAAACATAAGAGAAACAATTAAGAAATATCTCAAGATTAACGAATTAGATAGAAATCTCTCTCTCTCTCTCTCTCTCTCTCTCTCTCTCTCTCTCTCTCTCTCTCTCTCTCTCTCTCTCTCTCTCTCTCTGCCCCCCCCCCCCCCCCCCCCACACACACACACGTGAGGTGAGAGACTATGTGTATTTATCTAGTGTTTATTTATAAGTGTATGAATTAGAATCCTCATTCTTCCTATTCGGGGGAGGTATTTATAGAAGTTTTAGGCCTAGGATTTCCTTAGAAAAGGTCATTGTCTATTCAGTTAATGGTAGTCCATTGAATCGTTATTTCTAAGGGGGTCATGGGTCAGCTGCTGACCCTGGCTTCTCTTTATCCTAAAAACGTCTTATTTTATGTTTTTCATGT